CCCCAAAACCCCAAAACCCCAAAACCCCTAAACACTTAATTGAGTGATTTAGAAATAAATGAATTATTAGTCTCAAGTAGGTATGAATATAATAGATTTTTCCTTAAATCTTCAAATATATTTTAATTCATAATTATTCAAAAGCTCCACTCATCATCGTGGTTATACTTTTACAAATCAACATTATTTTCCAGTTTCTTTGCTAAATTACCAAGGAAATTTTTCTTCATCTAAATTCCTACCTTGTTATTTTTTAAATCAACTTTTTTTAATCTCAAGTTTTAGCGGTATTCATCACTCAAATGCTTTAGTATTCTTTTATCTATTTTAGATTTCTCACTTTGCATAATAAGTGTCGATATAAATATCTTAAGCTTATCATCGTCTATCTTTTTTATTTCTTGGATTTCTTTGACATTAAAGTCTGCATCTCGCAACTCAATATCATTCTACGAAAGTACATTATTTCTAAGAATTGGAATAAAGAAGGATTAATACTTAGAGAACATAGTCTTAAATATTAAGTCTACCTTTCTCACAGTTTTTATAACTCTAACTATGTCGAATTCATTTTCAATTGTATTTCGAGCTTTCTAGTATAACTTATTTTAGATGTATTGCTATCTAGGCATTTTATTTTTTGAACATAGTACTCTACAAAGAAACTTTTTTATCGTGTAAGAGAATAGCTCATAGTATTCATATTTGAAAGATTTTAAGGTCTTGATAAAATGCAAAAGTTTTTCAGAAATAAATGCATTTGGATTTGTTGGTTTGCTTGATATGTCTGATATTTATGGCATAAATTTGATTCTAACACTTCCCTTGGGAGAATTAGTGCTAGATCCCACAGTATTAAGTTAGCTTATTGAATCTTATTATTCCTCTGGCTTTGTCTAATAAAATATTTTGCTGATTATCGAAGACATGAATAATTTTTCTTGGATAGTTTCCATGAAATATTAAAAGAAAGTGAAAGTTATACCCATTAGACCTCCAACTATTGAAAATGCATCTAAGATAGTCATTACAGTTCTACCAGATTTTACATAACCTTCATCCATATCAATCTCAACACTAAAAAGACTCCAACCAGCGTCTAATTCTCTAGTACCTATTTAGGTATACTCTAATCTACCAGTGTAATATACATAATCGTTATTGAACAAATTACTTGTTAGCCAAGAGTCAGCAGTATTTACAATATTTTGAGTATATTTCATCATCTAATTATTGCTTAAGTATTTGTTAAGAGGCCAATAGTAGTTCTATATATTGTTGACAATTGGATTAGGACCATAGTTATTATGATCAAAATATTGAGTAATATATGAAAAGAACACATTCATATACGGTAAGATTGCTTCACTCTCTTCTTAACTTTTGCATTTTAAATTTTGATCTGGATATCATTAATCTAGGATTTCCTAATCACAAAAGTCAACAGTGGCGTAAATTATATGAGCACTCTTTGATGATGTACCACCAGATAGTTTCAAGTTGAAATTTTCTTCTGGACAAAGATAGTTTCCAGTTATGTTTATAAGTTTGGCAGTCCTATTCTCCCCTAGAAATCTACCTTCCTTGCAAATTTCTATTCCTATTGGCATGT